AACAATAAATGATTACTAATTATGGCATCGGACTGCACCAGTAAATAATAATCAATGGAAGTCTGTAGAGTCATTTTTATTATTTGTTTGTTTTTGTTTCCATGGCAGAGTTTTGTAATTTACTGAGTAATTTTCAAGTTGTCATTTTCCCCTTACTTTCTGCCCTTTTTCGTATTAATGCTCAGTGTGATCCAGCTTGTCTCATAGATACTGAGTTTAATACCGCCTCTGTGTAGGGGATGTCACCTTCCTACATCAGTTGGCCTGACAGCATATTTATGTGTCATCCCACTCTCTGGTATGCTTACCACAGTCACCTTGTTTGCCTAGATGGCGGAATAAAATATTCCTCTGTTTGTATGTGTTATCCCGTTGGCAGTACTTTTTTGTACTCAGGTATTAGATTACTGTAGTATTATGGTTTCCTCTAGTTTCTAGAGGGACATAGAGCTTCAGCCGCCCTTCTCCACTGCGTTTGGTTCTCCGCCAACGTTTTCACCTGGCTGCACGTCTGCCCACATGCTTTAATCTCCTCTTCACATGACCTCCTCAATGTCACTGACAACCAACCAACTCACCGCTTTCCATTCGGGTTCCACTCGAGAGAGAGCCTGGCGAGTGATGTCACTCAACTAATGGTTTGTTTTCTCACAGTATGGTCAATCCACCTCCATTTCTTCCTGCACTATTGTTGCACAATCCAGGATTGGTTTACTGAAAAACTTTTAATTAGAATTTTCAAATTTTTTGGATACAGGTATTGTTACTTTCTTTAAACATTCTACCAGGAGTTCTCAGTTTTTTCAAGAGTTTTGATCCCATTATTTCAATCCCTGTAGTTCTGTACAACTTCATATAAAACTCTGTTAGCTAAAAGAGTGGCTTCATTCTTTTTATGCAGGGGATATGGTGTTCCGTAAGAAATCAAATCTAAAAGAGATATAATCACAATTTCCTCTGTGATGGAAATCAAATTTCCCAAATTAAAATTGGTGCCAACTGCTCTCTTAAAATATCTAAGTGTATTTGTTAGATGTGTCATGGAAATGATTGCTACAAAAGTTCCTTGCCGCACTTGCATCATGGTAACTGATGAACTTTACCATAATTTAAACTTCGTCTTCAATAGATGACAGTATTTCGTTGAGCAGTTGTATCGAAAACTCAAGCAGACAAACAAATATCAGCCAAAACTCAGTTTTGGACTACAACATTCTTGGGTAACATTTCCACCCACAGTATATGACTCTTAGATTCGGTAGCCTATTAACAAATCCTTGGACTTCGAAACAGTAAGACGCAAAATCTTGCAGATAAATCACGCTGATTAGTGAAGTACGACTAGCTGGACATCTACTCTTTTGTTTGTGTTCGCGAACTACCTTGTACACTAAGAAATTAGTAGCAGGAGTAGTTTATGAATTATAAGTAAGTATTCACAAAAACTTACTAAAGACTAAAATCACCTATGACAGTGAAGTACTAAGGAAACGTTGAACCATAAATTAAAACCTCGAACGAAGACGTACAAATTTAAGCTTGTAGCCAAACGGAGAAAAATGCAGTCTCCTGTTCTGTGCAAATTAAACTCTGTTTCTCCTTCACTTTTCTCTAGAAGCCCCTTTTCTGCTTCACAAGAATAGCTTATCACTTCTTTTTGTATTACAACTAAAACTGCTAAATAATCTTTATTTTTAGATCAGTTGATTGATAAAGTATGTTGCTTCATTGTCGAGCTGTTTGCCTAACGTAGCATAATTTCACTATATATATATATATATATATATATATATATATATATATATATATATATATATATATATATATATATATAGGTAAAATATATCCTATTCATGTAAGCATAAAACGTGGAGTTATATCCTCTTCAGTGCGAATAAAGCATGTCCGAATGGTGTACTGAACGAATAAGTGGATGTGATCAGTTTCTTGAACCTTATTTAATCTGGATCTATTCTTGTTTGTCGTGTAGGCCTTATCCCTAGACATTTATGAAAACAGATATGTTTTAACCGATTTAAGCTTTAACACCTTTTAACAACTTGCCTTACAGTCATTATTACATGTTTAAATTTCAACTGATTGAAATTGGCCATTAAAATTTTCAGAAGAATCGTTTCTGAACAAAGGATATTCTTGTCGATAACCTCATCATTAGCTGTTGCAGTTATCTATACATAACAGTGAATGAATTAGTCATACTAACAATATTGTTGTTTAGATGGTTGAAGGCAATAGGCCACAGGAAGCACAGCCTCAAGAGGTTTCGTGCTAGTTGGCACTCAACAGTCACCGAGGCCCTTATCTGCAATCTCCAAGGAACTCATATCCTCATGTTCGAAGATTCGAACCCGCGTCACCCAGTTCTACTAGAAGTCAGAGACGTTACCACTGAGCTATTCGGGTTGGCGATTGACCCTTGTAGGACTGTATTGGATATTTTGTTTTGACTGTGCACTAGTCAGTAGATGGTGTAGTGTGTCTAGTTCATGGTTTGGCGCAGACTGATTTCTGTCAGTGAAGTTTGTAATGTGGCCACCATTCTGGGCGGCTCTCCATTACGGTGCACTGTGAGTTGTTGGTATTAGATGGTTGGACGCAACATTAATGCTGTTTAAATAACACCAAATCAATAATAATATCAATGAATTACAGTTCAGTAGCATCAACATAACAATACACATTGAATATCAGAAAAGTTAGCAAAGATAATAATATAAATTCATGAAATTATAGTTTCCACTGAATGCCGGCCACGGCAGTAGTAGTGGCTAGTTAGACTTGCTTCTTCCGCACACAGAACACTGGTTGTTTCAGGCGACTGCTGATAGCTTCAGCTGTTTTCAGTATGCGGTACCTGAATGTTTTTGGCAGTTTGTATGCTAGCCGATAGCTGATTGAGAAGGACTCCTCAATACTGGCTTGGTGGCCAGTTTCTACCAGGTGGTCTAATACGGAGCTATTGATCCTTCTCATCACGCCTTTACTTAACGACATCGGTAGATGTTCTCGAGCAAGCACGAAAACTCAAGTTCCTAGTGCAATGGCCAATATAAATCTCTACACCACAAACGTAGTTGAAGAGGCTAGTAACTAACTCATTCACTATTACGTTATATGTAACTGTAGAACCTGATGATGAAGTTATTGAAAAGAATATTCTTTATTCAGTAACCATTTTTACATCAGTCTTTGAATTTGAAAGGCGAAAGGAAGTGCTTAAGTTAGGTAGTCATACAATGGTGAATTTCTTTTTGTCATTTGACTTTTGGTGATCACCGTTATCTGAATAACTTATGCGATCGGTTGTGTAACTTAATTGGTCATCGTATATTTATGTATCTGCTATTTTAACGAGACTCAGCGCATACATGAACTTAAAGCAAAGATAATCTGTAACTATGAAATTGAATATTACAATCCTAACAGTCTTGACTAACAGTCATGCATTTCAAATATAAAGCTTTATTAAACTTACTACTGATGTAAACCAAATGTTTATTCTATGAAGCGATGACTAGAACAGTATCCCGTTGTGATCTTGTGATTTTTTCTCACCTATGAAATTTAATGCACAAGGAAAAATTATAAAGGATGCGCCGAACACCTTGTCAAGCATATGAACTGTCTGAACCGCAAAATGGAGGAAAGGTGTTACTAGTATTATTTGGGATCGTCAGTTAGTCCCGTAGTAGGTTAACTGTACAGCTAATGATGATGGAATCTGAGTCAGGTAACCAAGGTTTAGGCACACCCAGTTTACCATTCGTATTTACTATGGAAAAGCTGGAAAATAGAAGAAAGTTGGTTTCTAGGGTTTTGCATTCATTTGGTCAATACATGAAGAGGTTCGCAGAACATAAATAAATGTAGATGGAGAAATAACAGTAGTGTGTACTAAGCTGGTCTAAAATATGAATATCAGGAAAACTGAAACACTCACCATGTATATTGTTTTATGCGCATAGAGCATTCTAAATTCTTGATTAATTTTTATGTATTGGTTTTTTCGCAAGGATTTAGTTTAATTGGTTAGTTGGAGGATTTCATCATGAGCAGACACTAGGTAGAAAACCATTGGAAGACCACCTGAGAGTACTGGACAGCTGTTTCAAATGTCTAAGTTTGGGACTCTTCAACAGTACGCACCCACCACAGGGGTTCGAACCTAGGACCTTCTGGTTACAAAGACGGCTCGTAGAATGTAACTGGAAGTTCCTGGATTCGAACCCAGGTAGGTACGTACTGATGAAGAGTCCCAAACTAAGACGAAACAGCTGTCCAGTACTCTCAGGTTTACAATGGTTCTCTAACTGATACCAGCTCATGATGAAATCCTCCAACCAACTGATATACAGACTACTTGTGCAAGCACAGACTTCTTTGATTGCACACCGGTCAGTAACTAGTGTCCAGTCAAACAAAAATATCCATTACAGTCCTACCGGAGGTAAGTCGCGAGCCTAAATAGCTCAGTGGTAATGTTTCTGACTGCTGGTAGCATTGGGTGACGCGGATTCAAGTCTCAGAAAATGAGAACGTCAGTTCCTTGAAGATTGTAGATATACGCCTTGGTGACTGTTGAGTGCCAACTAGCGCGAAACCTAGGTGAGGCTGTGCTTCCTGTGGCCTATTGCCTCCAACCATCTAGTAGTACAAACTTCTTCTTGATGTCCTGTAGCTCCTGACAATGATACTTTCTTGAATAAAATTTCCTGAATTCGTAACAATGTTTTATTTTCAAGGATTATTGCTATGACTTAAGCATTTCAATAAAAGTCTCCAAACGACCAGGCTAACTCATATACATGAAGAGTAGGTGTGGTCCTATATAACGTTACCGGGGCAATTCGCTTTCCACAAGCTAAAATGAACAGATCTTAGCCATCTACATATTGTTTAGTCACAGAATTTAAATTACCAGTTTACTGATTTTTCGTCTGTTTTCTTCTCTCTCTCTCTCTGTTTTTTGATTTCATTAGAGCCAAAATTTATGAATTTCGTTGCCATACGCCAGAAAATTTAAAATCACGTGAATTATCTGGATTAGCTGTTGAAGACATCTGTTCAGAGGAGTTGAGTAATTCAGGCGGATTGTCTGGCGATTTCACAGGAAGCTACAATGAAAATCATGGTGGATTCGATAATTACAATAATCCTACGGGACAGAATTATCCAGGGAAAAGTAGTAACATAGATGATGTATCGTCTGGAAAAGATCTGAAACCAGTCAATACACGTGGTCAGAATGACCAGGTGCTGAGTACAGCTGGTGGTTTATCCACTGAAATGATAACTGTCATAGTCGCTGTTATTGCTGTTGTCCTCGTTGTCATCATTGCACTCATTGCCTATTCTGTGCGTAAACGTTCACAACGCAGAAAACAACAAGAAAGAAATCTGGGAGTTTCACACAAAACTAATTCATACTGGTAAGTAGAAGTTAATTACTATTTTTTGTGAAGGGTATATATGTGCATACGTTGACAATACTCTGTACACTTTGGTGGTATAGACTATTAGTTACCTATGTATTATGATATGATGGTATTACTTGGGTGCTTATCTGTTGGCCGGTAGACGGGAATTCACTTATTCACCAAGTGATTGAAGTAGGAGTCTTTATACCAGTGTGTTTGTTAATATTTCATGAGGTTTGCCCGGAAATATGTTTTGTGTTCACTGTCTAGATTTGCCATTTATCATTCTTTCAAATATGTTTATATTTTAGTAAACTCTTAAACGTCATACAGTGTTCATTCTGCCTATCTGCTGACTGTTGAGTTAAATAAGATCGACGATTTGTTGTACAGCCGTTAGAAATTAGATATACATATAACAGTGGAAGTTAGAGTGTAGACTAGGCACTTTGAAGATATCCTATCATTATTTTGTTGTTAATCCCTTGGTATCCGGGTGCAACATATGGCTTCCATAACCCATCTCCACCTTGTACTATTTTCCGCTACCCTCTTCATCTAGGTCCATGATTGCGCACAATGTCTCACCTCCTCCTCATACGATCTCTTCCATGTCACCCTCACACTGACGACCTATTCGAGTCTTCTCATTTGGACTCCACCTGAGGGCCTGGAATGCGAAGTCACTCGACGATTTCCTTAATACATGCCCAATCCATCTCCTTCTTCTTCTACATATTTGTTGAGCGATCGGCTCTTGGTTGGCCTTTTCACAGCCGGAGTTTTTTGTTGCTAATTCCTTCTGGACACTTGATCTTCAATACAGATCGGAGTCAGCTGTTAATAAAGAGTTTGTAACTCATCGGAAATCCTCTCCATTATGCACCATGCTTCTGACCCATGTAGTAGAACTAACTTAACATTGGTGTTGAAAGTCCGAACCTTACTGTTTATGCTGAGGCGGAGTGCAGAAGATTTATAAACTTGTTTCGGATTGATAAAGGCGTATCTTGCCTGTCCGATTCTGGCTCGCTGGCTGGCTTTGACACTTTCATCCGCTCCGAATTCCTGTGGTTGAAACCCTGCTTCCTAGCCAGATAAGTGAATGAAGTGACGTCTGTCAAATTTCTGCCGTTGATGCTGATTGGTTGGTTAGTTATCTTCATCACCTCTTTCTTCTCTATCTTCTCCCGGACTCTTTTGTTCACTGCCAGCTAGCCAGGCTCTTCTGCCAGTTTTCACCTGCCTGCAAGTCTTCGATTTTGTGTGACATTAAACATAAATCATCCACACGCGAAATCCATATCTTCTAGAGTCTTCTTATCGGTCAGTGCAGTGTATTCCTGACTCCTCGCTCCCCACTCACAGTCTTTTGCATAATCCAGTCCACTAGAATCAGGAATATCATCGTTGGTGACAATGGGCAGGTAGCCTTGTCTTACTCCTGTGTGCACTTCGAACGCCTCACTGAGTTTTCCGTTGTGGATCACTTGACACGTGGCGTTGTCATATAGCTGTTGCATGTTGGAGATGTCCTACCAATGTATATATATTCAGAGCAGTTACAATCAACTAGCTTAAATCAATATATTCATATATATAGCATACAATGAATTGGTGGTTTTTAAATAGTCTGGAAACTACACAACGATAATGAGCATCTAGTTCTTTTAATAATATATATATATATGTATATGTCAGATAGAAATTTTCACGTGTTTCTCACTTCATCTATAAGAGGTAAATGAACAGTATGCGGTAAATGTGAGCACCAGAAATGCTATTACAAGTGTCATTCAGTTAATTCAATACACACTACTCTGTGCAATTGAAATTTCACCTTATCTATGTGCAACGATGAGAATATGATAGAGAAAATACTGATATAGCCTTCCTTACATATGGATCATATATACATGTATGTGTTTCTTGAGCTTGAGTAGGCTGTATTGAGTGAATACTAAGTGCTTATTTCATTGTGTGTGAATGCTTCACATGTCAATACTTATTCCCGGTACACTAACAACAAGAAAAGCACTACACCCGCAAATTTGAAAATAAGCTTTACAATGAATGATTTAGAATATCATTGGTCAGATTCTACTGACAGTTCAATGTGTTTTTTTATCCTTCACGTTCCCCAGTGGAACAAAGGGCTTCAAGCTGGTGGCTTGAAGTTTCTGTAGGAGTGTTTATTTTACAAGATGGGGTTGCTAGCCTCATGCCCAACCTTTCCTCTTCACCAGCTTTTAGTTCTGGCTCAGCGAGGTAAAGGAGTGCGTCGGCCGGGGATCGAACCCCGGACCATGTGCATGGTCGGCGAGCATCCTAACCTCTATGCCACCGACAGTTCAATGTAGAGTGTCATTAAAACATCTGGTTCATTTGATACTAGCATATGGGTAGCATTGCCAACGCCAATAGGTAGTTTTGTTCCCTGTCGAGGCAGTATGATAACTGAGCGGTTAATGAATAGCATTATCGTGTGAATATGGTGGTAGTTTAGTCGCTTTCTGCGGCCAGTTCTTTTTCTAGTAGTAGTTGTAGTAGCAGTGACAGAGCAGTGTTTATGAAGTAACACTGAAGGCGATACACAGACTGACGCCAAGGTCTAACTGAGGCAATTGTTATTTTCTAGACTAGACTAGACTAGACTGTGAGGAAGCAAGACACTCCAGTGAAAATGAAAATGGAACTACAAACAATCTAGTCAAGTAATGAGGGCTACCTCAGCATTAAACATGTGGGTAGCGGTAACTGCGTTGATGGCTAAGCTTTGAATGCCTAGCAAATCGCGATAACGATAGTCCTCTATCGTAAAGTGACGCCGAATGGTAATACCGGCTTTCAGGTTTATTTTCAAGTAAATATTGCTATCATTTATATATCCTCTGGTTTTCCGTCTAATAAACACTGAGACTGGAATTATCTCAAGTGTTTGTAAGAAATAACTCAATCATACTGCCCCTTATTCTATCGGAGGGGGAGGGGAATCATGACTCCATTAGGTGTCACAAATGGTTTCATTTATTGGGACTCATTAGTTATGTTTAGTTACTTTATACATTGAGCTGACGTCTACTTGAAGGTTACTCTTGAAATTTACTATAAAATTAGTTGAACATTTTGAATAGTAGTTAATTTCTAAAGTCAGAAAAAGCCATACTATATTTTAGAGCAGTTTAATAGATTAGATGACGGACACTTTCGCTCTACAGCTTGTAAGCTAGTAAACATATGATGACTTCACCATTTGTTTTAGGTTGGACCACGGATTGATATCAGTTGGGGAACCATTGAAAACCAGGTAGTACTGGACAAACAGCTGTTTCGTCCTACTTTGGGACTTGTCGGCAGTGAGCTTGCAATGTAACCTGAAGGTCCTGGGTTCGAAACCCAGTGAGCGCCTACTGATGATGAGCACCAAGCTAGGACGAAACAACAAATAGAAACCCTACAAACTAATTCTTGAAGACTTCACCGATTGTGATATCATGTTTCAAGCATTTCAAAAGATTTACCATTGATCTCATGTACCGACATTCTCTTTTGGTAATTCAGTCGGTGTTTGTTGATTCATAGCCAGTTCACATAAATCCGTTTTGTGGTTTTACACTCTTTGAGTTGTACAAATCATCTTTAAAGCTTAATAGAACGATAACCACTAACTTCATAAGACTCCTATGAAATTATATGTCTATCGTTATAGTGTTACACTGTCTGCATGTTGATTGTTCTCAGAGTATGCACGTACACTCTTTTGATCTCCTTCATTTCAAACTGTTATCTAATTATACGACTATGTAATCCTTAGTTCACTTGTCGCTATAAACTACTGACTGACTGATGTGAGCAGTTGGATGCCACTCACATCAACCAGTTGTGCTTGTTATGCAGAATTGATGAAGGATTTACCCAGTTTTGATTAAGCCCCGAGAGGCCGAATCATTTCAAACCACTTGAATTCTGCCTGGCTACACATCGGATCTAAATTCGCAATTTGAAAATTAATTCCTCGATTTGTAAATTACACATTTCGAGGCAAAATCTCACCACGGTCTCCTCTGGAAACTGAAATTGTGAAGATCACAATATGTAATCAGCTTGCATATTGCTAATTCGATTTCTTACTTCACTTGTTGATAAACTCAAAATATGTGCACGCATCTTTCACCAGGTATCCAGTATCTTTCACTGGCTTCATTTCATCTGAGACAAACAGTGTATACTAGACAGAAATTTATGTCAATAGTTGCTGTTTATATCTGAAATGAGGCAAAAATGACTAACATCAGTTAGAGAACCATTGGAGAACCAAGTGGGAGTACTGGACAGCTGTTTCCGTTGTCCTAGTTTAGGACTCTTCAGCAGTATGCACCCATTACAGGGGTTCAAACCCAGGGCCTTCTAGTTACAAGGCGAGCTAGCTCGTAGACCATTAAGCCACTGGGACTCGATCCAATAGCCCATGAATTCTAGCTTCTGCCAACTGACCAATTCACAATGTCTTCTTCGAGCTCGCACTGTAACCGAAAGGTCCTGGGTTCGAACCCCGGTGTTGGGTGCGTACTGACGGCGAGTCCCAAACTAGGACAAGGGAAATAGCTGTCCGCTACTCCCAGGTGATTTTCCAATGGTTCTCTAACTGATGGAATCCTCCAAACAACCGATCAAATCCCTACAAAACTGCTGACATATATTCTAAGGGGTTATGGAGGAATGGACTTCTGTTTTTTGTAATGTACAAGTCCTCTGAGTAACTTCAGTTAATCTTATATACCTTCTTTCTGTTGATAAGGTAGACTACAGCTTACCAGAAACATTAAAAATAGGTCGAAGCATGAGAAAATGGATGTTAAGAGTAACTGATATGTGTAGTTATTTAAAGCATCAGAGAAACCATTAGGTTGGAATGGGACACATTCAGATGTGAAACGATCCACAGCCCATCAGTAACCAATGGCTGCCCACCAGGAAACATTATCGGTGCACAGTGTTCTATTTCGCTACAACCACGTGTGCAGTTAATAGAAACTCTTTCTTCTTCCATTTTTAGCAAACTAATATTGTCAGCACATTAAAATTATCTGTAGATTCATTGAATTAACAGAACAATTTGTATCGGAATGACTTTAACAAAAAAAAGGCTTTCCGGCATTCACTAACATCTTGTTTGAGTCAGTTACAAGCCTAACTGGCTTCAATTTGCGTCGGTTTATGTTCGTGTATACGGGATGTATGTATGTTTGTGTGTGTATGTGTGCGTAAGTTAAGCACATATTTGCTCAACGTTTAGTCTTTATTTCTTTATTACTACTATTATCGTTAAATAGCTGTGCCAAATACATCAGAGAACATTCTCTCTCTTGCACATAAAATGAAACATAAGAAGCTAATATAATTGCTTTCTTCTTTCTCTGTGTATTTTGGTACTGACTGAATATTTGAAAATGCCTTATTTTCTGACAATACGTGCTAAAGATGCAGTGTCCTATTATGTATATATATATATATGGCTGGAACTTTGAGTAGGTGGTAAGTCACTGTATCTACTGCGTAGTATTTATGTACATATCTCTGCGTGTGTGTGTGTGCGTGCGCTCGTGCGCGCGTGCACGTGCACATATGACTATAAATGATGAACAGATGGTTCATAAAAAATACTCTATAGGACTAATGCATATTTAAATAACCTATAAATTATTATTCCTTGAAAGTTCATCATTCAGTTTTGTTGTTTTTTTTTGTTGTTTTCAGTATCTGAGTTATTCCGGTGTTTTATCATCTTTTTGTTTCAATTTATGTCTGGAATTCATCATTCCTGTTCATATTTGTGCTCACTTGTACACTTGCCGTTTCTCTGCATTCATGTGTGTATCTGTTGTGTGTGTGTGTGTGTGTGTGGTGCACGTCCATTCCATGTCTGCTTGTAATTTTTTATTTGTTTCAGATTTACTGGGTTTTTTTTATATATAATGTGATAATAATGAGTAATACACATCACACTATGTGCACTATGCACAACACAACAGTTAAAGTAAATAAAATTGTTCTACAGGTAGACGACACACACACACACACCACAAAGCCTAATACAAAGAGTTTAACGCTCAAAGTTTACATTAGCAGTGAGTGGCATTCTCTAAGTCATCTGATTTATCATTTCGAAACTCTTTAATAGTTCCGACAAATATGTTAATGTTGCACCGAGATCAGGACACCAGGAAGCCATCGGTGTACACTTGTGACTAGTCTCAAGTTGAGAAGTAACCGATGCTCGATTTATTAGTGGTTTCCACATAATACAGTAGTATGTGGAGACGACAATTCATCAGGCTTGGAATTCTCATCAAGGTCAGTGCATAAGTAATCATCAATTAACTTAAAATTCCCCAGGTTACAGGTTTGGTGATCAATAAGAAAATTCGGATTTTCAATACAAACGTCAAGTCAGTCAGTTCTTCTATACGGATGGATCAGAAACTTGGCGGCGGGTCACAAAGAATATTTCCAACAGCCTGTTGCAGACCTTTATCAACAGCTGTCTTCGTTCTATACTGAAGATCAGATGGCCGGAAAGAATCACCAACAAGAAACTATGGGAACAAACAAAACAAGAACCAATCGCCCACCCAACAAATATGCAGGAGAAAGTGGAGATGGATTGGACACTCGCTGAGGAGGCCACTGGGTGACATCGCGCGTCAGGCCATCGCTCGAGTGGAACCCAAAAGGGAAGCGGCGAGTGTGACGTCCAAGTGTGGGTGACATGGAGGAGATCGTGTGAAGAGGAGTTGAAACAGTATGGACTAACATGGATGCAGGTGAAAAGTACAGCAGAAGACAGAAGCAAGTGGAGACGTGTAGTTGAAGCCCTATGTTCCACTAGGAACCCAAGGGAACAATAATAATACAGGTTTGGTCATGAGCTGACATAAGTTAGAGGACCATTGTAAAACACAGGAGTGCAGGACAGCTGTTTCGTCCTAGTTTGGGAGTCATCGGCAGTACGCACTCACCATAACGGTTCGAACCCAGGCGAGTCAGTAGACCTTGGTTAGCGAATTATCAGAAGTCGGAATTCATTAGTCATTGGATCGGTTCCCAGTGGCTAAATTATCTGGTTACGAACCTTGGTAGGCGCGTACTGCTGGAGAGTCCCAAACTAGGGTGAAACAGCAGTCCTGTAATCCTACGTTTTCCAATAGTTCTCCAATTTATGTAAACTCATGACCAAACCTACATAAGCAGTCACCTAGACAAATCTCCTCACTCCCATTTCTCTCTCCCTTCCATGGGATAGGACAGAGGCGGTCAATAACAATTTAAATGTTCTCACGCAGTTGGTGTGTTGTACACAGTCTTACGTGACTTAGTATGTATTATGCGTTTGAAATGTAACGTTTTGTTGTTATAAAGGTGTTTTCTATCGATTGTTCACAGGCCTTCATTATCTGTTTCGCGCCATGTGTTATACTTTGCGCGAAACTACTTCCTTGCGGCTACTTTTATCCTCACTCTTTTTTTAAATCTTGTAAGGACTTAATTTTGTGTACTTCAGCATTAGTCATGAACACCGCCTGCTTGCTAACAGATCGATCTGTTGTCATCTAAAGCCTTATTATTTCATGATTGTGTTATTTGTTTTAAATTTTCTCTCTCTTTAACAGTGCTGTCATTGAACACAATCCATCGAGTCGTATGCAGAGTGAAAAGCAAGTCTCTTCGCATTCCCCGTATAACAATCATTCACGTGGTATGTCACAGCCGGAGAAAGAACCATTAGCTCCTGGTTACAATAACTACAGAGATGGACGATTATAACAGAAGGATGCAGAGGAAGCACATCAAGAAAAGCAGATGCCTACTTTATCAGACATTTTCTCTTTCTTTCTTTCTTTGTCAAACCCGTTTTTGTGTGAATGTGTCTGGTGTCTACATTTTATTCAACACTACACACAATATTAATGCCTACAGTTTCCTCTTCTGTCATTCTCTTAACACATTGCTTTCAGTGTGTTTGTGTGTGTGTGTGTGTGTGTGTAGAGAGAGAGAGGTATTTATGTAGAACAACACGAATGCACACACAAAGTTATCCCTACTTCTCTGAAAAGAAAATCATGAATTCCACTGAAATTTTCATTCCATATATTCTCAAATTCGTTCAACTTTCTTTTAAGCTTTGGCGAGAGTCAATCAGCTTCGATTTACGCGTAACTTTTATTCCGTGTTGAACAAGTCATTCAAGTACATAAAAAGACACGCACACACGCACACACACGTACATGTGCACACTTGCATATATACAGAGAAGTGGAGACAAGTAGACGGAGAGAATTGAGAGCACAATTTACGATGATTGTTAATTTATATACATAAATTGATTGAGCAATTATTCTGTTCTTTTATTAGTGCTTTATACACATGTGTATCTGAGCTATTCATTGGAAATCTGATCTCTTTTTTTAACTTTCTCTGTTTTATTGTATTGTAACTCAATCATACGGTGTAATATTTCAACACTCCACGTACATGTAGACTGTATACCAACACGACAAACAGGCGATAGAAGACACATAAAAAAAAGAACAACTTGCACATATACACAAATTTGATGAATCTATACGGTGTGTGTGTGTGTTTTAGGTATTTAACATGTTCACCTGTGAGAAATAAAATCAATAATAATTATAATAATAATAATAATGATGGTATGGTAATAATAACCTGTTACCACTGAGTGCCTATTAAAAACCAAACAAACATAGTACTATTTATTGTCTACCGCTTCTCGCTCTCTCTTTATCTATATATGTTTTGGCTTTTTTGACTCTTGGTATGATTAGCTCAGTTATGTTTCCAGGTCTTAAACAGCGTTTTCCATGTGTGCGTGCGTGCGTGCGTACTTCTGTGTATGAGTGTTAGTCAAAACTTTTCTGTTCCGTTTATCAATTTTCTCTTCTCTAGAGGAAACAGAAAAAAAGAGTACTGATGATGAAGGAAGTTCTGATAAAAGCAGTGTGTTGTGTATTGTGAATGGCATTTCCTTAATGGCGAAAAGACATCTATATATATGTATGTATGTTCCCAAATTATGAGGTTTATTATCAAATTTGTGTCTTTAGACGTCTTTTTTTGCCTTTTTTTCAAAGCCTTAACCTTCTGCCTTCCACACAACCACACACCCACACACGCATACAAAAGTGCTTATTACTGTCTTCAATTTTTTTGGGTGCTTTCTCTGTTGTTTTTATTTCTAGGCGAAGTTTTTTTCTCTGTTTTTAATGTTGATTCATACATATATATGTCAAATTTTAGTTTGGATATTGAGTAAAGCCATCACCGCTTTCTATTTGTTGCAAAGAGAAACACACTCAATTTTGCTTGTTCTAGCTAGCATTGATTAATTAACTAAAAGTGCTTTGGACGAATAAGAAAGAATGCCCTCCCTTGATTTCAACATTCAATCGCTTGTGGTTTTTGAAAAAACAGTAATAATAATTATAATCACATAATATGCAACTTCCCCAGTCCAGATGTAAAAAATCCCCTGTTTTGGCGCCGTGTGTTATATATACTTTGTCATTCATTTTGATAGTAATGATTACAGTAATAATGAATGAATAGTTGTCACTGTTCAATTTAAACCGTCTCTATCTCTCTCTCTGTCTCGTCTACCTACTTACCTGCCTACCTGTCGATCAGTTCATCGATCCATTTTTTGATCTGGTTATCAGTTCACTCACACACACAACACACAATAAAATAAAATTGTTCGGACATTTTAAATTACTCACTTCTTCTTTGCCTGCCTACTATACTATACTGTTGTTTATATTGAGTATTTTTTAATCAATTAAAACAACGGATATTGAAAGAAAAAAGAATACATCCTTTTTATTAAAAAAAAAGAAAAGAAACAACCAACAAAATTTGTTAGTACATAACTATTATTATGTCTGTTACCAATGCCAACCGAAATTATTAAATATATAGTGTTTGATTTGAATAAATAAAAGAATAAATATTTAAAAAAGAAATTGTGTTTTTTTTTTAATTAGCGTTTTTTTGTCTCCTATTGGTTGATGCTGACTAACAGATTGGAATCTAGGATGCTCATTTCAGCCGGTTTAAGTCTCGTTATCCAGTGGATGTACATGTGTTCACATAGGGTGTTATAGTGTTTCCACCGAGACTGGAACCCTCACTGTTTCAAACGTCGAAGTAATATCTACTAGGCCACGAGGATCACTGGGGGGGGACATTCTTGTACACCCAGCGTCAGTTATTTCTTTGATTTTGTCGCATTTCCCCTTAGCGTTGTGCCGTTGTGCCACCGACACACACATTGGGTCCCGAGTGGAATACAGCGCTGCAACACCCTTTCTCCATTTCGTCCAGTTCCCTGTAGTCTTCCTCAACTGAACCTTTCGATTGCCCACAAACTTTCATCTCCTCCCCCACACGGATGATCTCCCAGTTGGGTTCCATTCGAGAATTAACCAGGCACGCGATGTCATCCAGTGGTCTCCTCAGTGTGTGTGTGTGTCCCCGATCCATCTCCATTTTGTTTTGGGATATTTGTTGAAAAATATGTTCTCGGTTAGTTCATCCCCAGGGTTCTTTGCAGCTTATCCGTCCTGACTGTCTGATCTTCAATAGACAGCCAGTGAAGGCAGCTGTTGATGAAAGTTTTTGCAGTAGCCTGTTGGAAATGCTTTCCAGGACGCGCCAACTCCCTGACCCATATAGAGGTAGAAGAACTGACTTAACATACATGGCACTATGATAATAACAATGTTGGCTTATTTAATACAGTAAATAAAAATAATAATATTCAATAATAATAATAATCTACTTTATTCCAAGACGAACAGTACTTATAATACAGAATGGAATTCTCAGCATTTGTCACAATATTGCATCTGATTTACTCAAAATATAAATAAAATTAAAAATTAAAATAAAATTAACCAGAGGAATTTGTCCACATTTACGATATAAAGTCAAAAATATTCGAAGTACGAATTGAGAATAATAATAGTAACAGTGAGTTTGTTTCAAACAGTATTGTCGATTCAGTTTGGAAATTTTAGCATGTTATAGATTATTGAATCTAATGTTCTGTTGATATAGCAGCATGGTGAGGGGAAATACAAAATTAACAGTTATAACACAGCTTAAATGATGTTCACACTTATAAGGGAAAAAATTGAGAGGATTATAAATATAAGAAGAGCAATAACAATAAAGCTTGATGTTGTAAGGATGGAGGAAAATGGTTTATTTAGTAGTGCAAAGAAGGTTAGTTAGTTCATACCTAACACTATTTTCATCACATAAAGTATGGGCCAAATATGGTATAGTGGAATTTTTATACTTAGACGTACGTGCATAAAGTCTTCTGGAAAGACTTCTTGTTTTACCTGAGGAGACACAAGGTTGGAGCTGCGGGTAAAGTGGGTGCTCACAGTCTGACAAAATTCCTTTAGCAAATTTGTTGCATGAAATCAAGTGCCTGTCAATGACGATGTCAACGATATGGCCCAATGGAATACTACTCGCCCTACTGACAGTCTTCAGAGTTCTACGAAGTATGACATATCTTTCTTAAGCAATCCAGGAAAGAATAAGCAGGGCTGAACAGTAAAGAAGAATGGGTAAGATGCACGAGTTGACAAACTGTAAGAGGAGGAGGTGTTGAGTTATGCCTGAGTGCCTTAACTTCTTAATGCAAAACGTCAGACGAAATATTCTTTTAGAAATCGCTAAGACATGGGAAGACCAGGATAGATCAGAAGAAAGAATTAATCCAAGATACTTAACTTCAGATTTGGTTTCTATATCATTATCATCAATTTTGCAATGGTCATAGGAACCAACAGCTTCATTTAGCTTTCTTTTACATCGGAAACTGAAATTAACAGTCTGACATTTTGAAGGATTTAGTTTAAGGCCATTAGATGAAGACCATTTGCTAACTCCTGATAGAGAGCTGCTCATCTAAGTACAGTCTAGCTGGGAGTTAACAGACATTGAAATAGTTAGATCATTGGCATACTTAACAAAGTTCATTTCATCACCAGAGTGAGGCAAGTCATGCAAGAAGAAAGAAAACAGAAAAGGAGAAAGGACAGCGCCTTGAGGGACACCAGCCTCAGTAAGCAATAAAGTGAACGACTTCCCCTGACATACAGTGTACTGCTTTCTTCCTGAGAAAGTAAGAATGCAGCCATTTGACAACCCAACAGTCAGTTTGAGTTTCAGCAAGCTTGCTGAAACTTTATTCCAAAAACAGTACTTAGAATACAGAATGGAATTCTCAGCATTTGTCAAAGTATGGTTTCTAGGGTTTTGAGTCCCAAACTAGACTGAAGAAACAGCTGTCCAGTACTCCCAGCTTGTTTTCCAATGGTTCTCTAACCGATGTCAGCTCATGATGAAATCCTAGTTGGCAGCTGTTCACGCATAACCTCTGGAGCATATTCCTATCAAGGTAGTAGTCCCTTAACAATCAGATTTTCTTATTTTACTCCACCAGCATTGATCGTGGGAAATGTTTCTATCTGCGAATGACTATGAGTCGCTGTTATTATTTCTACTAGACTTTTATTTGCTGTTCGTCAGTGAAACCAAGCCGATAGCAGGGTTTATTATATCGGACGCATTGCTTGAGGAGACAAAGTTGATTGTTGACTGAGTTTGCATATTTTAACGCTGTCATAATTCCAGATATGCTAAGAATCATCTGCTGGATTTCTTGCCGCATAATACAGTGAATCGCCTATTCATCACACATCACTGATGATATATTCGAAGTGGGT